AAAGCAAAGGAAGAAAGCAGAAGCATCCGGGCATGGGCAGCGCAATCCTGGCACTCGGGGGGCTGAGGCAGGGGGTTCTCCGAGAATGAGAAGCCAGCGGGGCTACACAGCAAGACCTTGTGTCAAAAACACAAAGTAAAATAAACACACGTTCCTAGGCTCCTCTGTCCACCGCCAGGGCTTCCTGGAGCTTCCTTTATTACACGTGTGTCACTGAGCTCAGTCTTGGAAAAAGTGCACCAAACAACAAGAAATGCGAGTTCAACGTGTACACAGTGACCACACGCACAGTCACAGCCTGGCAGTCTGGTCACCCTCAGATAGGGGCCACAACTTATCTGCCCTCTGCCTCTGCCTCTGCCTCTGCCTCCACAAGGCGCAGGAGCACTGAAGGGAATAATCTAACAATGGTCCTTGCAGACAAAAGTCCGCAGCAGGGGCTGGGGTGTAGCCCAGTGGTGGGTGCCTACACAGTGGGGCTGTGGGGTCCAGCCTCAGCACCTCCATTAACAATTAGCCCACTCAACAGTCGGTCATCTAACAGACCCTGGTTATTTCCTCATCGTCCACATCCCCACACCCATGCCTACCCTCCCACAAGGCACTGGGTGCCGAGCTGCCCCACCCCTCCTCATGCCCCTGGCCCTGGGGCCTCCGCTGCCACCACCAGTCCAGGCCACACTCCTGTTCGGCTCAGGCCTTCAAAAACACGCGTCAGATCCCATCCACTTCAGCTTATCATTCTTTCCTCAGACCTGGCATTCTGTCTCGCTACGTAGATATGTGTGTACATTCACTTCCTCCAATAGACTGCAGTCACCTGAGCACTCAGACTACTCATTGCTTATTCCCAAAATTTCTAATCAATATATGCTATGACCCAGGCGCTACACCAACCCCTAGAAAGACGAGTCAGGAGGTTCCCTTTGGTCTGTTTAAACTCCTCCAGGGAGTGGGGTGAAGCTCTTTGGTACAGTGCTTGCCCAACAGTGTAAGAACCTGGGTTCCTCCCCAGCACTGAAAAGGCTAAAAATAAAAAATGAAAACCACTATGGAGCAGAAGGGGCAGCAGGGAGTCTAGCTATGCACGCAGAACACTGCACATATTGCAACATAACTGCTGCGTGCTCCTTAGGGTTACCGTCTGAGCACCCACAGGTGTAGACAGAGAAGTGAAAGGAGCCTGAGGTGTGTTAAAGGGACTGAGCAGCTTTCATAAGATGCGGGACATGGTTGGATCTGTACTTTAAATGTCCACTCTAGCTAGAGCACAGTCATCACCCCCAAAGTCTGCTCCGCACAGGAATGGTGAGTTGATATCAGCATAGAAATTTTTCCAGCAATTCAGGAAATACCAAAATCCATGAATCAGGGCTGGGGGCTATGCCCTAAAGTTTTGTGGCAGAGCTTCCCTGGGCTCTATTAAATACAGACTTTTATTGGAGGATTCAAGGAAAAGAAGAACATTGTAGTCAGGCAGGAAAAGCCCAAAAAAGAAAATAAGCTAAGAACTGGTTGGGCAGGCATCAGGGACTCCACGGAGTCTGAATGGTTTCATTTAGTGGGCAGCAGAGCGGGCAGAGCCCCAAAGCCACGCTTGAGGCTCAACCTTAGCCTGGGCTGCAGCTCAGGTGAGAGCACCCGCCTAGCAAGTGGGAGGCCCGGATTCCATCCCCAGCTTTGCAAAAGCACGCAGAGTGTAGACTGTCAGCCTGCTTGGCGGAGTCAGACGTTACAGGCACAAAGGAGGGTTCCGAAGCAGCACACTTTGCCAGTCACATTAGGTTAAAAGAAAAAAGGCTCCCGTGTGTAACACACTTACAGTGGTCATTAGGTGTCAGACCTAAAAGGACCCTGGAGCACAGTGACGTCAGAAGGGTCTGGTACCCCTGACCACCCTGCCCAGCGATACCGGGAGGTAGCATGCTTCCTGGGTGGAAACATGACTGAAATTCATGGGCAGGACTAAGACCACCAGAGAGCAGGAAGGCCGTCTGGTCACCAGCACTCCCGGGAAATGCCTGTGAGAAGCAGCAAGGGCGCACAAGCAGCCGCCGAGTTCTGCATGCATCAAGGGGTCCAAACTGCACCGGCTGATGACTTCATGGCGCTGGCCGCCTTCTCCTTGAGAGTGAAACGCTCCCTGTATCTACCTTACAATACTCTCCCTGGCCCTCTGCACTCCGTATGTCTTGACTAAATTCTTTATCAAGAGCACAGAGAACTTCAGGCCGAGCAAGTGAGGGGTCCTCGGCTCTCCAGGGACTAGAGCCAGTCAGGAGTGGGGTGCAAAAGGAGAGAGTGTTTGTTGCACTACTTCAGGGTGACTCTGAAGACCTTAAAACAGGGTCTAAGAACAACAGGGTGAGAACAACAAGGTGAAGGAAAACTGTGCTGCAGAAAAGGTGGTTGGTGACTCCACAAAGTGCTGGCAAAGTTTGTGGCGTGTGACAAAGGCCACTTCACCCTTCAGCCACCCCCTCGCTCGTCTGCAGACTCCTCAGAAGCCGAGGGTTTGGCTGGAGATGGAGGGGCCAGCAGCAGGTGACAGGCTATTTAACAGGTGTCTACACACGTGCACAGGTGCACAGACGTTTAGAGACACCACACTAGACAAGAGGAAAGGAAGGAAAAGGAAATGGAAGAGAGGAATGAGAAAGGAGCTCCTGCACAAACATCAGAGGCCCCCATTTACATCCACGACAGCCACACTGGGAGCTCCAGGGGCGTCCTGGCCACGCTCACCGAGGGCAGGCCAGAGCTGTGCAGGTCACGGCCCCAGAGCCCTTGGCTGAAGAACTCAACCTGCTTCTCCACTGCCTCTTCTCGTCCTGTCCATAAGAAGCACAGGAATGACTGGTTTTATTGTTCCCAGTTTGACAACCAGTAGTTACGGATTGTGGGAAAATATTATAACTTTTTTAAGACATAGCCTAACAAACCTGTGTTGTTCAGTAATCTACTTCTGAAAGAAGACAGCCTCCTAAATACCAAAGATCTCACTCGAAAGAACAGTGTCGCTGGGAGACAGAGCTTGTAGAGGATTCAGAGACTTCCTGACCCACAGATACAAACACCGCCTTCCCTGCCTTTTTGCACTGTACACCACACACAGTGCGGCCCTCTGAGCCAGGTGCGGCCCCGATGTTGTCCTCTCCCGAGTACGAAGATGTAAAACCCACGCCATTCGCTGCAGTGCTGAGGCTGCCTTGGCTCAAGTCCAGCAGTCACCAGCTCTGGATCACACTTAATGGGTCATCATTTAATCAGTGATTGTTGTTGTCACGGGCACTTTCTAGAACCTCAAATAGATGCTCGCTGGGTCTGAGTAGTAACCTTTCCTTTTGTTTGGTGGCTTCTTCCTGTCTCTTTGATGGCCATTCAAATATTAAACATTTGAGTATGAGGATGCAAAGCAAGATGTCAACACATAGCATTTATCTGTGAGACAAATCCCTGATAATAAAACAAGAATAGCATTGCTAGGAAACCCAGCCAATTTTTCTAAACTATGTGGGCTTGGTTTTTTCAGGCTCTTTGTAAGGGTGGCTTGGGCAATCTTTGGCCCCTTCATAATTCATCTGCAGACACTGCGAGATAAGGGTATCTCTTAAGTCAAAAGTGTGTGGGGAGAGAGATAGGCGGATGAAGTCCAGTCCCAGCCCCTCCCAAGCCTACAATCCCCCTACACAGAGCACTGGTCAGCACCTTTCAAGGAGGGTAAACAATATCCAGGAAGTCTTTTGCAGTATTTTCTAAAAGATCAGTATAATACATGGGCATATCAGCCTGTCCAATGTATCATTCCACAGACATTAAACGAGATGTAATAAATAACATGCCAGATCTGGGACAGATGTGGTTTACTAAAATACATGCATAGGGGGATGACAAACATTCGAGGCCAAAGAAGCCAGGACAGGTAAAGCTCAGCTTCCCTGCTCTACCCCAACCGGTACTGATAACAAAATGAGCACCAACCTCCTCACAACAGGACTGCACCTGATTAATGTTCTCTGCCTGAAATCTCAGATCACAGTCACTGGAAAACACTTGTTTGCAGTTTCCCAAAAGTCTTGAACCACAAAAAAAAAAAAAAAACAACTTTGCCCCCAAAGTGTCAAAAGGTGTGGAAACTGCGCCCTGCTCTCCAACATTCAGAGCAGGATTAGAGGGGAAGCCAAGGTCTTGATTTAGTGGCGTCTCCCACCCTCTCCAGTTCTGGGAGGCGACCAAGGCCCCCTGCACCTACACACCAGGCAAGCACTCTGCAACCAACAGGTGACCTCTGAACTACTGGGTACCCCCCAGGCTTCCCCAGGCTTCCCAAGGCCTAAGGTGTCAAAGGACGAGGCAGTGTGTGTATGCACTGCCTGATGTAGTTTCTACTTTCAGGGAATCTTAGGGTCAAACACTGGACCTGACAGATAAGAAACTAACACTCGGAGCCCAGCTGGTCACCAAGGTCGCCAGCTGTCCTCAGTTTCCCGATCTGTCCCATGGTCCTAACTGCCTCAGAAAGTGTACACAGGACCCTGATGACTGTGGAAGCCGGGGATCACACCCTGGGCAGGTACGGGCGTCTGCACCCTCCCCATGTCTACGTGTAAGCACCCCAAAAGCATTTCTCTTCCAGCCCTCAACTACTTCGGAAGCTCTGCTGCAACATCTTACAACCTCGAGCTCATTATGAGAAAGCTGCAGCTGTAGCTTCAGCTCCGCCCTGGGTCACCAGCGCGGTCCTGGCCCTCACCTCTTTGCCCGGACACCGCCGTGCACGTGCAGGAGTCCAGGCCGTGCACGCGCAGGAGTCCAGGCCGTGCGTGCTCAGGGTTCCAAGCGTGCACGTGCGTGCTGGGGCCCCGCAAGAGCGCACATGTCGGCGGGCGATTGCACGGTGGAGCTGCGCACGTACAAGGTCTCCCCACCCCCCACCCCGAGTACGCGCGCGGTGTGTCGTGCACGCGCAGGGTTCCCCGCCGCGCCCGCGCGCTGCGTACCTGGTTGAAGTGAAGCGCGCCGGGTGCCGTGGCTCCCGCGTGGCCGCCGTGGCCCGCGCCCAGCTCCCCGAACAGCAGCCCGAGCTGCGCGGCCGAGAGGCTGAGGTTGGCGCCGAAGGTGCTGAGCACGTCCTCGCTGAAGGCGCGCGTGGGGGCCTGCGCACCGAGGGCGGGCGCGGCCAGCAGCAGCAGCGCGGCCGCCACAGCCATGGCCGGGAGGGCGGTCCGGGAGCGGGTCGGGCCGAGCGGGGCGGGTCCAGTCGGGGCCGCGGCCGAGTCAGGGCCTCGGGGCGGCGCGGGGCGATCGGCGGTGCGGACCCGGCCTGGCGCGGAGCCTGCGGGAAGGGACGGGCGCGGTGAGGCGGGCCACCGCGCGGGCCGCCCCGGCGCGCGCACCGGGATCCGCCCTCCTGTCCCTGTCCCTGTCCCTGTCCCTGTCCCTGTCCCTGTCCCCGCCGAGGTGAACACGTGGGCCCCGGTCGGTCGGAGCGGCCCCACCACCCTCCCGCCAGGCGAGGCGGCGTGCGCCGGTCCCCCAGCAGTGCGGGAGGCTGAGGCAGGAGGCTTGCAAGCTCCAGCCAGGCCGGCGAGACCTTGTCTCAAACTGAAAAATGCAGACGGGTTGGAAACGGAGCTTGGTGCGCGGTCCCGGGTTCCACCCCGCGCTGGAGGCAGGGACCTCCCTGCCCGCCTCCCTCCCTCTCCGGCTCTGTCCTCGGGCGGAGCAGGTTGGGGCCCCCGGCCCCGCACCTCTCCGACCTGCTCCGCCTCTGCGTCCCTGTGTGTACCGAGGCGACACTGCCCCTGCGTCCCTGTCCTCGGCTGTCTGGGCCCCTGGCCGCGGGAAGCCGGGCTGCCCAGACCTGTAGATAAGGGACCGTCCTGTCCCCGCCCCGCACTGGACCCCGCCCTGCCCGGCGCCCCGCGCCTCCCGCCCTCCTGCGTCCCCCGGCCACCCCGAGGCCGGCGCGTCCCCTGCGGTGTCGCGATAGCTGTTACCTCGGTGCTGTCGGCGTCCTGGACTGCAGCCGGCAGCCCCGCATGGTCTCGGAGACCGACAGGAATTGCTTTGGTCGCACTTCTGACCCTCGGGAGAAAGAGGAAGCCGAGTCAGGAGTGTGCAGGGCGGACGGAGCCCTTCCTGCGCCGGCGGAACATCCGCAGATCACAGGCGGTTTGTTTGTTCGGATGAGGGTCACGACGCGCTGGCTCGGGTGTGAGCCCAGCGAGTTCATGCGATGCCAAGTGGTGTTTAGGGACAAAGGTTGTATCTGCCGGGCACAAAGTGAAACCAGGCCTCGCCGTAGACTGCGCAGCCCCCAACTACGCACCCCGAAAGGGCCAGAGCAAGTCAGCGGGAGGAAAGGACCTCGCCTCTCTGGGGCCTCGGGGCTGAGACGACGAGAAGAAGGCGGCGGGGGACAGAAGCCAGCCCGGCGAGGGACCGAGGCCCAGGACAGGGGAGGCGCCCGGGGGGGGGCGGGGAAGCGCTCTGCAGAGCCGCTGCCTGCGTGCGCTGGGATGACCTGACCGGCCTGGAGGGACACAGCACAGACCCTGCGCGCTCACCAGACCCAGCCTGAAGGAGGAGCCGAGCTGAGCTGAGCCCCCGCATGCGCCCCGTCCCGTCCCGCCTGTAGCCCGCACCTCCACTGACAGCTAGCTTCAGAGAGACAGGAATGCACAAAGGCCACCAAAGCCACAAGTCAGCCAGTGCCACCGCTGGACACTTAAATCACCCTGAGGCGCAGGGTCCAAGCCTTTTATTGGGTTTTGAAATAGTTTATTGACTGTTTTTCCTTTTGGCCTTGTGGCTGAAGGGATCCTCTGGGAACTAATGAATGTTTAAAAGACTCCTCTTGCCAGCTTAGTGGAGCACAACTGTAATCCCATCACTAGCAAGGCTGAGGCAGGAGGATCTCCACATGTTCAAGGTCAGCCTGCAGTGCAAAGTGAGACCCTGTCTCAAAAAATAATATAAAATAAAATAAAAGGCTCCACTGTTCATTACCAGCCCCATAACCGACTTTTCTGGTTACAGTGATATGTTGATGTGTTGGGTTTTTTTCAACAGAGGTAATGGGTTTTCAATAACACAAGTTTGATGCCATGGATTTTTTGAAAGTATAATTTATCAGTCATTCAAGTCACTCATATTTCACTATGAGGCAAACAGTAACAAGGGTAACAGCCTGCTTGACAACTTTTCCAGAGGTGGTTAATGGAATGCAGGAATTAGTACTCAGAAAGTGCTAGGTGCCCAGGAAGAGAGAGTGATTCCTAGATCGTCTGCTCTAATAAGCTAAAGCACTCAAGTACTGTCCAGGTTATTTGGGGACCTCCTATGGGGCACCCCAGCAGCAGCAGCCTGAGGAAGCCTGAAGCAGAAGGTACAAGGCTCCGGCTCCTTTTCGGGGGAATTCACCCTGAAGTTCAGATGGTTTCCACTAAAGGTGAAGACAGTGGGTGCTGCGGGCCCCCGGGGTTCCTGAAGCTGCGCTCCCCACCTCCGACTCCAGAACCGAGCTCACCCAGCCCAGCGACATCATCTACAAACCAAGGCAGTGGAATCAGAGCAGCAAGAACTGGCCAGCCTTCGGATTCCTGAATGTCTAGTTCAGAAGTCTCCTACCAGGAAAACCACAAGGCATGGAGAAGTAAAGTCCAGTTCTCCAGCAGAAAGGACAGTTGACTTCAAATCTTATTTTTCCTCAGTATCTCCAAATTTCCCTGAGCCCAACTCATTTGTGACTGTGGCAAATGAGGATGGAGTTTCTTTCTTTTAAACCTGTTTGGGCATACATGTCCCTGGGCAGGACTGGGAAGGACCTGTAGACCCAGTCTCTCCCCCGCCCTTCCCGTCTTTAGAGCTCCTGGGTGGAGCACAGCACAGGGCCCTGTGGCCCAAAGTGCCTACTGGAGCAGTGGCCACAGCAGAGAGATCCCCACTGAGGGGACAGAGTGGCCCTCTGGACCCTACCAGGGACATGGATTGGGAAACAGCATGGGCCGTGGGAGGATGTCCTCACAGATGGGTGTGTGTGTGGATGTGGGTGGCTGGGTCTGCTAGCATTCAGGAGAGTTGAGGGGTGCACCCCTCTCAGAAGAGCCTACCTGGAAGAGAGATGGCCTGGGGTGGCTACTGGAGCCCAAGGGAGAGAAGGGAGTCCGTGGAGATAGAGATGACCAGCACAGGAAGTTGGGGTTAGGCAGGTGATGCTGATGGACACAGAGTGACAGTGATGTCCCTCGGGTGAGGAGTAAACCCAAGACCCAGGAAGGGTGAGGGGAGCACAGAACTGGATTAATTATGGTATAGGTCAGCTTTCTAGTCTTTGGGGCAAAATGCCCCATGTCAATGTCCACAGCTTCAGGAAGGTTCAGTCCATGGTTGTAGGCTCCAAGGCAGGGAAACCAGAGTGAGAAGGCCTGGTGGAACAAAGCTGCTCGGCTCATGGTGGCCAAAAGCAAATGGAGAGGAAGGAGGTGGGGACAAAGATGCAAGCTTCCAGGTCAGCCTCCAGCAGCCTGTGTGTTCCCACCAGGCCTGACCCGGGAACAGCACATCAGCATTAGCTCATCAAGAATGAATTTACTCCTGAGTTACAGCATACCCCCACACACAAGGCCCCACCCCTGAACAGGAAATTTGGGGGGCATTGTAGATCCTAAGCGTAACAACTATACACAAGATACGATGGTTTATATCTGGATGTCCCCCAAATCCTCACGCACTCATTGGTGGGGCTTGGGGGGTGACTGAGTCATGGGTGCGTGATACTGGTTAGTCCACTGGTGGGTTCACAGCTGGGTGTGATGTGAGAGGTGAAGTCTGGTAAGAGGCGATGATCACTTGGAGGTGTGGCCTGGAAAGGTCTCCCTCCTCCTCCTTGATTTCTCTCTGCTTCTGGCTGCCATGCCAGGAGCACTTTCTCTGCTGTCAGTCAAGCCCTTCTGCCATGCTGTCCTGCAGGGGAGCCAGCCAACTGAAACTGTGAGCCAAATGAACCTCTCCTCCTTCAGGCTGTGGGTGCCAGGTATTTTTTCCAGCAATGAGAAAGTAACTAAGACAAGGGAACTGGCTGAATAAACAAGCATATGGTGGTTATAGCAGCCAGTTTAATCAAAGTCAAAAAATGAAATTGGGAGAGGGACGAGAAGGGAAACAAGACCGAACCTTGCTGTCTCTAGCTGAAATTGGTGGCATCAGTGTCAGTTAATAATCTCCATAGAGAAACACAGAGATCTAGACGGTTGCACACAGTTCCCAGCCTCATCACTGCAAACCTGGAGAAAGCATGCTAGCGGCAAGGAACATAGTCGCTGAGTTTGGTTTCCAAGTGTGAGTCTCCAAGAAATAAAAGCAGAGCTCCTGAAGAAAAGGGCTGACTCCCAGAGCAGATAGGCAAAGAACAAGATGAACCAGGAGTAGCTCCTCATGTTTGAAAGCAAGGAAATGGGCCTGGCCAAAGACGTCGGAAATACAGACGAATTTATTCCAAGAGAATGCAGTCAGATAGCAACTCACAGGGTAAAAGTCTTTTTCCTATGCTTGCAACTTTTGTGTAACATTGTAACTGCTTATAACTTTTGCATAACATTGTAATTGCTTCAAAATTTTTTTAAAAGAAACATTGAGTACTAATGAAGGAAAAATTTCAGCAACAAATTACATTGAAAGTAAAATTAAACCTGTGCTAAACTGCTACTCTTATAAATTCCAGTGAAATGAATGTCCTCATTAATACATCTTTTCAGCACTCACAGTGCTGTGCCTGTGCCTGGGAACCCAAGACTAAACTGAGACCCTTGTTTTACCTCTAAAAAGCTAGGACCGCAGATCAGACAAACATGAGGCTGTTGCAGGGGTGGAGATTTTAAAGGTCCAGGTAGAGCTGAGCCTCCAGGAGGCCCTGGATGCAGCACACATACACGTGCACACGCACACAGCAGTGATGAGAAAAGAGCTCTGTGACTGCAGGTGAAAGAGCAAATAACTCACAGGGCAGGGAGCCCTGAATCTGAAGAGCAGGTGACAACTGGACAGGAAGATGAGGAGACACACATTTCAGGAACAAGAATGCTACTAAAAAGCCTGGGATGCCCTGAAGACCAGATGGAGTGACCGAGCACCTGGACCTGGAGCGCTGGGCATCAGGAAGAATAATGAGCAGGCAGGACAGCCTCCAAGTCCCGCTGGACCCAGGATGTCTAGTGACACAGAACAAATGCCTGTGGGTGTTTTTGCACAAAGCAAATCCCCTCTCCAAGTTTACACTTCTTTTTCTGTTGTATTGTCAGTATCAAATAATATTTAGTCCTCATTACTATAAAAATGCCACAGCTCAGATTCTCAAACAAGAGCAAACAAGACAAGCCAATGGCTCTGCCCAGATCATCACTGTCTACTTGGCCACCAATGCCGAGCCCACGTGCATAGGGACATGCCTCTTCAGGGCTCTCCGGACTTCTCCTTCAATCTGTAAAGTAAGGCAAGGTGACCTCTGCTTGGTTTCGGTTGCGTCACCAAGGAACCATGAAAGCCAGATGTGATAAAGGACAGAAAAGCCTCAGCCAGCTGCAGGTGCTCTCAGAAGTTCGGACAGTGCAGTAACACAAACTGGGTGACAAGCACAGCAGCTGCCAGTGGAAACAGGAGGAGAGCCACCAGCAATATCCCAGAACAAAGAGTGCTTTCACCCCGCAAGATTCACGACAGTTTTTTCTAGGAAATTGAAGCACTGATCAGAAACAGATAGAACTGCAGATAACATCAAGTCTAATCTGGTCGTTCCCTGAATAAGGAAACACAACCCCAGGGGTCAGTGACTGGTCAAGTGGCCCATTTAGCCCAGAGTCAATCCCAGGCCTCTCATCCATTTCACTCACACAGCGAGTACTGGTGGCTGTCCCCCGGGTCACACAGGTGGACACCCCAAGTCTAAGATGCCTTGAGTCAGACTTGCTTCCAGCTCGGAGCTGATTCTCGTTTTAGTGAACTTTCCTGGGGCGGAGACTCAGCTCTAAACACAAGACTCAACTGTGTTTCAGATGCTCTTCAAACACAGCCAGAAGGTAAACTGACAGTAATCTTAATAAATGTGTGTGTGTGTGTGTGTGTGTGGTGTGGAATTTTCCATGGATGGCAGTAGTCAAAAACTTTTAGGTTTTAGGTGTTTAGCATTTTGCATTAGAGTTTATGGTTTTAGGGATGTTCAGCTTGTACCCTTAGGATACAATTGTGACTTTAATTTGATTAACTGAAACTTTCTTTCCCACTCAGCTCAGTCTGCCCAGCATTATCTCTCCATGGTTTCTGTGCTTTAGAGTCTTACACATGGCCTATAATATTCCTAGAATTGGAGAATAATTTTATGTACCAAAATGGACTTATATTTTGCAATTTAATGAAAATGTAAGGTCAATTGTA